TTATTTGATTTATTTAACTTTATGAATTCACACTGGTTCCCAGTAAGACCTGCAGTCATAGTTACAGTGAGGAGGCACCTGTGAAGTTTATCTAACACAGCTCAGATGCTACAATACAAACAGGAAGCAACAGACGACGAGGAAGCTGTGATTACACTGATGTTTACATATCAGTTAATGTTATTATTGGTACAACATGTGCACCAGTACATGCACCAGTACATGCACCAGTAGCTCACACTCTTCTAAAGATCCCCTTTAAGCATTTCTTTCTTGGTCCTGTATGAAGTCATCTAGTCTCTGATCTCACACACAGATGCCGTAATAACAGGGATATAATAACAGGGATATAATAACAGGGATATAATAACAGGGATATAATAACAGGGATATAATAACAGGGATATAATAACAGGGATTATTAACAGTTCATACTGAAGCAACAGTTCTTACCACGTCCATGATCTGCAGCAGGCTGAAGCTGAAGTGGACGGTCAGGCTGTGGGAGTCATTGCTGACCGGCCGCTCTAACGAGTTGTAGTTCTTCATCAGCTCCTTGTAGAGACGCCGCTGGTACACGCCCTGCAGAGAGCCTGGAGGGAAACAGGAACGACTGTCGTCAGCACGCATGACCGCTCCAACAGTTTAACTGAGGTGGAGCCGGTTAAACCACTGACGCTAACACAGGCTTTCTCTCCCAGTTTACAGCTGAGAACCACTAAAGTATTCTGTGGAGCTGCCCAGACTCTCCACCATCCCCATCCTGCCAGTCCAGAGTTTCCTCCTGGACTCAGAGGTTGCTTTGACCACATCGCTCACTCTGTTCCAGGTTTTTGTAAAATATAAAAATGAGTTTGATGATCTGAGACATGAAAGTCTGACAAATATGTGAGAAAACTTTCCCAGCACTACATTTGCTCTGTTCATTATCTGTTTTGTACGACTGAAGTGCTGTAATGCTGGGAGTGTTGGCAGGTCGTTAGCGGTGCCTCTTGATTGGCCGATGCAACTGAGCGGCTGCTTGAAGTGTGCAGAGCTCTGAATCTGCCATCGGGTGAGATCTGTGACCCACGTCTGGTCTGACAAACATCGATTTCACCGCATTTCTCTTCCTTTTGTCACCTTTCATCTGAGGCAGCCCAGAGTCGCTCAGAGACCGGGGGTCTTGAAGGCTTCGAGGAGACGGATTACATCAGCCTTGGTGGAGATGAAAGCTCATCCGGATGACTGACAGGTGCTCGGTGAGACCGAGCGTGTGGGGAGGGGCTGACTGTCAGGAAATGAGCTCCAGATAACAGAAATATTTTCTGTTCCTTTGTCTGCGTTTCGTGCTCGGACTGCTCAACTAAAAAACCCAAACGCTGGTAGAAGTCAACAAATGAAGGGATCTGAATTTCTGAATGAACGTAAGTGAAAATGAAATTATTTTATTTACTGTCAACATGAAGAACTGCAGAGCTGTGACTGTTACAGTGATGCTGCAGCTTCTGCAGGCAAACGTTTTACTTTTATCTGGACTTCTGATCCTCGGGTGTATTATAAGTTTTAGTCTGTAGTCCAGTCTGTTACTTCAGTCCTGCATTTGAAGCGGTTTCTGTGGGTCAGTGGTTTCTATTAATAGAACTGTTGTTTCTATTTCCCCCGCGCTTTCACGCCTGCTCTATCTTCTGATATAATTTCTCTTCATGGTTTATATTCTCATCTTGTTGTTTGAGTCTTTTGTTCTCGGTTGTAGTTACTGTTACCAACGCTGTGTTTTTGTCTGTGATGTCTCCTGTGTCACCTTAATCTTGTTTATCCTCATTCAGTTGTGTCTTACTTCCTGTTTTACTTTGATAGCGGCTATTATCAATGCCTCATGTGAAGTTAAACGTTCCCCGTGTCTCTTTATGTTGTCTCCACCTGACCCGTGGAGGCACGGACCCTGCAGCTCTGATGGAAAGGTGTCTGTTTGTCCAGCACATGATTCTGGGGAATCTGGAGGCCAAGTCAACACCTCAAACTGGTTGTTGTGCTCCTCAAACCATTCTGGAAACATTCCTGCTTCCAGTGCATTATCCTGCTGAAAGAGACCACAGCCATCAGGGAGCACTGTTTCCATCGCCCAAAGCATCACGCTGCTGCTTCCTCTGGCTCACCGTCTTCCCATAATGCATCCTATTGCCGAGTGTTCCCCAGAAAAGCGGCGCACACGCATCCATCCAAAAAACGTGATTCGGACCAGGCCACCTTCTTCCATTGTTCTGTGCTTTAGTTCTGATGGTCAGCACGCCCACCCTGACTGGTCTGCAGCCCCATATGCATTAAACTGGTGCTCTGTGCATCCTGACACCTTTCCATCAGAACCACCTGACATGGACAGTTTGAGCTACAGCAGCTCGTTTGTTGGACTCGTGCAGACTGGAGACAAATCTGCAGTTTTCTACATGTTCTGACCCAAACTGTCACACTGACCCATTTCTCCTGCTTCTCCCATCATTTTACAGGTTCTTGTTTCCTGACATGTCCCACCCACTAACAGGTGCCAGGATGCAGATCGGTGTCATTCACTCCACCCGTCAGCGTGTTAAGGCTGATCGGTGTATCGCTCTCTGATTTTGCATTCCCAGCCTGCTCTTCGTGTCTTGAGCTTTTGTACGTTCTCCTCATTAACCTGCATTAAACGCTCACTTTGAGCTCGATTCCTGCTGCCCGAGTCAGCGACACAGCTAACTCTGACACTCATAAACATGTGAAACACAAATATGGACTCTAACCGGTCACGTGACTGATGCAATGTTGTGTAGGAGAGCTGATGTGAGTGAAGCTGATATGTAAATGTGTCAGACTGCTCCAATAAAAGCCTTTCATGCTGTTCCAGCGGTGGCAGCCCAACCCTGCACGCTGCATGTACCAAACCAGTTCTTTTCCTTTGTTTTTTGGCATATTTCTCCTGTTCCAGGTGTGCATGTTCATATCAAACATGACCAAAGCTTCAGATGATGAGCTCAGTGTCTGCACAGAGAGCCAAAAGCTGCAGACTGCTGTAAAAACACCGCTTTTTCACCCTTTTATCTGAAGTATGTTGTGATTGGGGATTTCCTTAAGTGCTCTGATGTAAGGGAGGCGTCCTCCATCAGTCTGCTCGGGGTACTGGAGGGTGGAGCACGTGTTGAGAGACAGGGGTGGTTTTCAGAAATCTGCATATCACAGCTGACCTGCAGCATGTGTAAATGCAGAATGCGTGAAGAGTCGGTGCATTCAGGAAGCTAATGCTGCTGCGCCGCATGCATTCATTAAAGACAAAGGACGGAAGCTGAGTCTCAGCCAGCTGTGAACAACAAACAGATTCTGCAAAATCCCAGATTATGATATAGGAAGCGAGTCTGTGGAGGAGATGGAAGGAGTACTGAGCAGCTCATGAATAGAAAATGAGAGTGAGAGGAGGACGTGGAAGGAGTAATAATGATGAAGAGATGGCAGCTATGACGAGTGGGACGGCGGTGACATACATGTGGAGGTGTGGAGATGTCCAGGAGAGGGGGCGGTGGACTTTAACCAGACTGTTAACGATGATTTTGGAGAGTTGGAGGATGATGAGGAAAGCAGGTGCATGATTACGTGTGTGGTAGGAGAGACAGGTGGGTTGAAGGTGGGAGTACATCAGGGATCTGCTCTGAGCTCCTTCCTGTTTGCAGCGCTGACAGACGAGGTCGAGAAAGAGGAGCAGGTGGAGGAGAGCCTGGAGAGGTGGAGGTATGCTGGGGAGAGAAGAGGAATGAAAGTCCGTAAAAGGAAAACGGACCATGTGTGAATGAGGTGCATGCAAGGAGAGGTGCAACACAGAGATAGTGTCGCTGCAGGAGTTTAATGCCTGGAGCCAACCATCCAGATAGAGATGAAGAAGTGAGTGCAGGCAGGGTGGAGCGGGTGGAGATGAGTGTCAGGGCTGATTTGTAACAGAAGGAGAGCAGCAGGAGAGAAAGGGGAGGTTTCAGGATGGTGGTGAGAGCTGCTGTGATGAGTGGAGATCAGATTTAAAGGGAGAAGCTGCTCAGTGACTCCACGTGCTGTGAAATAAACACTGTAAAAACACCACCCACTCTGAGTGTGTTGGTGTCTGAGTCAAACCGAACACTTCTGTGAAGACGTGAAGCTTCTGGGCTCTTTGTGTGTTTCGCACTGATCTCAGAGCTGTGACTGCCTGCACGATAACCCTCGAACCTTCAAACGTCTTTAAGAGAAGGTGGGAGACACGGTTCGACAGTGAGGCCGCAAGGACGCCCCACAGACACTCACTAACGGGAACAAAAGACGTTTTATTAGCTTTAAAAATGCTTATTCTTCTTAGGAAACGACCAAGAAAACATGATTTAATTGGCTGAGTTATTTGAACAGCTGTGAAAGGTCAACATTTCCTTTGGGCAAATAACATTTCAAAAGATTTAAAGCGGCAGCTGCTGAAGAAGACGTCTTTAAACCTTAAACTGAACCTCAGAGCTGATTTCACAGCGTAAATCAGCACAGAGACGTGAAGTAGTTCAAAACGTCTTTTTCTAAGAAGACATTTATGACCCCGGTTTTATGCAAACGAGCTCCTCCAGCAGCGAATAATCTGAACCCGCAGCAGGCTGAAGACGTCCACAGACGGTGTGAACAGACGATGTTCATAATAAAGATCTGTGATAATATGCAGGCTAATAGAGAAACTGTAAACCTGAAAGAGTTGATACAAACAATCCAGATATGAACTGGTGACTTTTTTAATCTCTTCTACGAGATTACATTAAAAATAATCCCACAGAAAAAATACGTTGACAGATAAGTGAACACTGCTACCACAGGGCAGCTCGTTTCACTCAGATTTAATCTGACATGAATCATGAAAACCTGATAACACGGCCCCGTTTAATCTCCACTGGACCAGTCAAACGTCTGCCTAATAACCAGAGATGGGCAGTAACGCGTTACTGTAATCCGATTACTTTTTTCAAGTAACGAGTAAAGTAAGGGATTAGATTACCGTTACTTTCCCGTAGGAACGCTGCGTTACTGCGTTACTAAAACCGTGATTTTTT